ACCCCTTCAATTAAGGTATTTGGCATTGATCATAACAACCCCGCCCCTTAACCACACCCCATCTATTCTCATTCTTGACTTGAGCCTTTTACTATTATTCAGGAACTTCAAATTCTTCATACCAACTAATCGTATGGAGTTTTTATGGAATCTATGTTGTAAATTTATAGCGTTTTGGAATGAACTTGACTTCAACTAAGACTTCATTTTCTTTAATATTAACAATTTTTCAAAGCAGGCGCCTTTTGAATGAACTGGAGTTGCACATCAGAAATATTTTCAATGTGATGCTTGTATATAATTCAGTCACCCGAATTGGTCTTCCTAAAAGTAACAAGGATGCAACTGTACGTCCTCACATTACTTACAGGTAGATTCCATACCTTTATTCACGATATATATATATATATATATATATATATATATATATATATATATAGTGCTCTTCTCATCAGGCCGGCCTGACGGGATGCTCCGTCCGGCCGAGCCCATTTGGGCACCTTCCCGGTAGAATTTTTTGATGAAATTGTTTGAGCATGTTCCCAATCAAGTCTAGTTTGTCCATACCAAATTTCAGCTCAAAATTTGATCGGGAAGGTATTCAAATCATTTTTTGAAGTTGACTGCGTCAAAATATACATATAAAACTGCAGTCAACTTTAAAAAATGATTTGAATGCCTTTTCGATCGAATTTTGAGCTGAAATTTGGTATGGACAAACTAGACTTGATGGGGAACATGCTCAAAAAATTTCATCAAAAAATTACACTGGGAAGGTGCCCAAACAGGCTTGGCCGGACGGAGCAGCCCGTCAGGCCGGCCTGACATGAACATTCCTCTCTCTCTCTCTCTCTCTCTCTCTCTCTATATATATATATATATATATATATATATATATATATATATATATATATACAGACACACACACACACATATATATACACATATATATATACTACTTCTTAACGTATCTTTTCAATATCTATAGTCTGCCCAAACTTTAGTACTTGTTTCTGAGTGTGGCTAATGCATCAGTAGCAGGAGTTTTATAAGACAAGATACATATTGGTCTAAGCAAATGATTCGAAATGAAAGCAACAATCCACCAAAACCTCAACCCTCTTGTAACTTTCTTACTCTTTTGAAAGGTTTACTTTATGTGTAATAAATGTTTCACAGTATTATACCAAACTCATAGGCGTTTTTTGCAAGAATAATATGATCAAAACCCAAGGTGATGGTTCTAGAAAGGATGGATTAAGAATTCAGACAAAATCCAATTTTTTTTACTAAATCTTTAGTTATTTGGTTAAATAGAAATCTCACAGCACTGTGGCACCTTTTCTCTCTACCAATAGTGCTTTAAAATATTTTAGCATAATGAAATCCAAGTGGTCTCTTTGAATTTTCTTTTATTTGCATCATAATATGTGTTTTTTTATTTATAATTTGCAGCCGATATGGCAGCCAATCATGACGAAAATTAGTGAACCTGATACTTTCTGAAAGAAAATGAAGGCATTTAGGAAAATGAACCACAAATTCGCTTAGATTCTTGTTATCCTGAGATCAGTACTCTCGAATTACTTGGTGATAATTTTAAGAAGGGGCATCTATTAAGTACATGTCGATCTGAATTACTTACTGCAGCTTGCATGATTCTCCATGATTCATTTTGGAAGTTTGGAACTACACTCAAAAGTTTAATTGAATGTGCTTAAAAAACCTATATTACATTATTGTAATACACTCATACTTACTGTGAAGCAATGATGTTCATTTTGTGAAGCTTAGGTTGGAGAAGATTAAACTTATTAAGGTACAATAACTATGCATGTATGATCAATAGTCTTTATTTTGAGATGTATGCAGGTTTACACTTCTACTTCATAGCAATTTGAATTTTGTCTTGAAGCCAACTTTTTAGTTTTTACTCATTCGTTTGATTATTTCATAGCAATAAAAACACAGGATGGCTATGCAGGAGCACTTTCCCACTGCATGTGATATAACTCTTGAACGTACCAGACCAAAAAAATGTTAATTGGCTAAAGCATCAGGATGGCCACACAACAAGTACAACTCCATCAAGTGAAGGTAATGTTTCATCAACCGAAACATTGTTCATTTGTCTCTCAAAAATCTAGTGAACTGTTAATTGAGCCTAAGAACAAGGTCATATGAAAGCTTTGTCAAATACAAAGTGAAGCTGCCTTTTATTGAATGTCATTTTGAACACTTTCAGGGAGATTCATTTTTTTGTAAATTGTTTATTTCCATTCTTCAATCTATAATCTATCCTCGCAAAAAAAATCCATAAACTTTAGTTTTTACATGATGTGAGTTTTCTTCCAGGTGTCTATGAGTATGTTCATGGAGAAACACTATAGAAAAGAAGTGAATCCATACACCCTCCACTTCCAATGTTTAAGCCTTGAAGTGAAGACTATTGCAGCTCCATGAGATTGATTCGACCTCAAATGATTCACATAGCAGCTTCACATCTTTTTACTTTATTTGTAATAGGTTTTAGTACTTGTACATAATTTGATTGTATATTGTGATATTTTATTGGCATTAAAATGCAAGATTGTAGTTCTGTTGACTCGTTAATAAAAAACATGTTTGGTATTTACAGAGTACAGAGTAATATTTACATTATGAGATCACTCTTTCACTATATATACATATTATATATACATATTATATGGAGTATATATATATAAAAATATATGATACTAGTGTATCACTAAAATCTATGATACCAAGGTGTCGTTAAACATTTCCATACAAATGTATCACTATATTTTATGATACTGGAGTGTCGTAATTTAGTGACACTTATACAGTGACACTAATTTTAATGTCACAACTCCCACCATTCGTTGACACTTTTTAAGTGTCACTAAAATTTTTAGTGACACTAATTTAGTGTCACTATAGACCATTTTTCTAGTAGTGAATGGGTGCCCTCTTGGGATAATGACGTGCACTTTGTCGTGGTGTGCACTTCAAAATAAATATTCAATACGACACTAATACGTAGTATAGCGTAGTAAGGTTCGTATCCACAGGGAAAGGAATACTTTTCTTTTTATAGAACTAGTAACAAAATGGGGGATTTTAGTTTGATTTGGTTTAATAAATTGAACACGAAGATGAACGAGTTATGTGGTTTAATTAATGAGAAGAAGACTTGGCTTTGCTTTTATCCACTTAATGAAATGTTCGTCGATCCCGGTTATATCTTTAACTATCTTCCTCTCGAATACTCAATCGAGGAGTATATCCAGTTCATCGAGGGTAGTTATTAATAACGAGACGCGTTCATTAATAAAACTTACTACCGAGTCAATATAGAACAAGCGCCGTATATTAACTTGATAGTAGCAATAAAATCAAGATGAAAACGATTGAGATTGATAACCTCAACACAAGCGGTTTATTGGTTTAATCAATATAATTAATTCCTCTTGGCTCATTAACCATGAGAAGCATGCATTAACAATCCAAGTTTACTACCGTGAAAGGATCGAATTAATAACAAGCGTATTAATCGACCGATTCTAGTAATAATTAATATATGAAACAAAACTAGTTGATCATTTAAGTAATGTTCAAAATATTAATATGAAATATGAATAGGAATTAATTAATACTCAAGGAAGAATATTAAAGAAGATGAATCCTACTATAGTTAATATCAAGATGTTAACTAATTGTCATCTTAGTAACACTCCCCAACATTGATATAGAAATAGTATTTAAAAGAAGAATTAATATTCAAGGAAGAAGATTAAAGAAGATAACTCACAACTTACAAATTCATTAAGCTTCAAAGTAGCAAAACCAAGATGGAAGAGTTTAGCTCCTCATTTGGAGACTAAACATGCTATAAAAATATAAAAGAAATACTATTCTAAACTGAGCTTAAGAGTATGGAAGAAGGGATGTTCCTTTGTGAAGGAAAATAGGGCTATTTATAGGTGTTTTTCAACACCTTTGGCCCCCAACCCGACCGGGTAAAGTGCCCACCCGACCGGGTGCATGTCAAAATCAAATATCCTACACGTTCTGGCGATCTTCGGCACGTTCTGGTGTTCCGGGTCAAGTCGGACCCGACCGGGTGAAATACCTCACCCGACCGGGTGATGTAATTTCCTGAGTACCTGCATCTGTTAAATCAGACCCGACCGGGTGAAATGTCTGACCCGGCCGGGTCTGTGCACCTGAATATTTTTCTTCTTCTTTTCACTTCTTTTCCTTGCCAATAACTCTACTACTACTTTACAACTTACTAAAAATGATTAAAATCAATTACAAACAAATGAAGATGATTGCTTAAAAACTAACTAAAAACGGTAAACAATCCACACAGAATAAATATAAAAACATACATTTATGCACTACAAACTAGTGCATATCAGATAACTATCGTTTGAAAGACTAGATGATCTTGTTGGATTCACAATTCTATTAGTTACATAGGAGTCAATTTCACTTCTGATCCCACGAGAATCGCACCAATTCCACAATTGATCCATATATTTGACTTTGACCACTTTCGATAAATGAGTACTCCGTATTATTTTTTCGGTCAATGTTTCAGGTGTTTAAAATCACCAGCAAAGGAGCACAAATGATCAAGAAATATTAGTCAAGTATCAAAAGTGAACAAAGTGAAAGACGTAGACTAAACATAGAATTAACTTAAAAATCATAGAACTAAAAGTGGAATTAATTCGTTACATAGTCAATAGTGTTGGGCATTATCTCGAACGCGCAACGCGCGTCAGATAACTAGTACTACCTCCGTCCCACTAAGATTGGGACAGAAGAAGGTGATACGATTATTAAGAAAAGTGAGTTTGTGTGGTTGATATTAAATTGATAAAGTAAGAATGAAGTAAGATTGACTTAGAGCCACACAATCTTTACCAAATTTGGTATGGGACAATCTTAGTGGGACTTCCCGAAAAGGTAAAATGAGACAATCTTAGCGGGACAGAGGGAGTGTAAAATAAAAGCAACATGGTCCATGGGATTTTATGGAATAAAGTGCATGCCAAAGCCCCAAACCATTCCAATTTAAAAAAACGCATCAAATAAATAGATTCGTGAAAAAAGGAACGTTACATTTAAACACCTTATTATACAGTATAATGATGAAAATAGTTTATGATGATGAGATCTTGTCGATCACGGCAAAGGATTATAATAGTTGTTGATAGGGAGGCGGCGGTAAAGCTTGATAGGCTGAAGGAGTAGACTTTTCATGTATCCGGAATTCCACACCACTGGATGAGAAAGAAGACAAAAGGCAACCACGAAAGAAAATCCTGTCACAAACGAGTGCAGTATCAGTTGAGCAATGGTGAGGACCATAGCGATGGCAGTCATGCATGGGTTCTTCCAACTCAGTATATTCTGAAACCTTTCCGCTTGATTTGCAAGGTCGCCCACGACGTTCTGAACATAGGCAGCCCGAAGCCTCAGATTGTCGTATCTCTTCTTCACCACCTCCGGCTTCCGACTCGTCTCGCGCGTGTCCCCTTCCTCGTCAAGATCGTCCGGTTGCGTAATCTTATAATCACCAACAAACAAACAAACAAACAAGATTGAAATATCACTAATCATACGGCTTACTATCCAGTATTCAATTTCGGAGTATAGATAGTAACTTAGTAATCCGGGCTTCAATTCTTAAAATAGAGAGAAAAACTCTTTTTAATTTCCTCACAAAAATGTACAAATATGATGTTGATATGCACTAATTAGTAGTGCATAAATGTATCTTTTTATGTTTAATTTGTGTGAATTGTTTACCATTTTATTTAGTTTGTAAACATTTGTGTGTTTTTAGTTGTAATTGTATTTTAGTTCTCATTTGTAAGTTGTAAAGTAGAGTTAGGATTTATGGTGTTGGAAAGGAAGACTTTGAAGTGAAGAAAAATGATTATTGGCTGCCCAGGACAATCACCCGGTCGGGTGAGGTTTTGCACCCGGTCGGGTGAGACTTTGAAAAGCGAAGGTGGCTGGAAACTACAATCACCCGGTCGGGTGAGGTATTTCACCCGGTCGGGTCAGATGTGACCTGAGACAAAACGATGTGCTGAAACACAAGAACGTGGAAGATTATTTGATTTTAACATGCACCCGGTCGGGTGGGCACTTGACCCGGTCGGGTACCCGGCCCAAGGTGTTGAAAAACACCTATAAATAGCACATTTTCCCTTCACAAATAATCATTTCTTCTTCCATACTCTTAAACTCAGTTTAGAATAGTATTTCTTTTATATTTTTATAGCATATTTAGTCTCCAAATGAGGAGCTAAACTTCCATTTCGTGGTGTTGCTCTTGAAGCTTGTTGATTATTAAAGTTGTGAGTTATTTTCTTAACTTCTTCCCTTGAATATTAATTCTTCTTTTAATCTATCTATATATTAATGTTGGGGAGTGTTGCTAAGATGACAATTAGTTAACATATTGACATTAGTTATAGTAGGATTTATCATCTTTAATATTCTTCCTTGAATATTTATTAATTCCTATTCATATTTCATATTAATATTTTGAACATTACTTAAAGGATGAACTAGTTTTGTTTCATATATTAATTATTACTAGAATCGATCGACGAATACGCCTGTTAATCGTTGATGGTTTCACAAGTAAGTAACTTCGGTTTATTAATGCACGGTCGTGGTTAATAAACTTAAGAGGGATTAATTTTGTTGGTTAAACCAAAACCGTTGTGTTGAGGTTATCAATCTCAATTGATTTCATCAAGGAGTTAAGAGATTAAATGCTACTATCAAGTCGGTATATGACGGTGTTCTATACTTGACTAATAGAAAGAGTTATTAATGAACGGTCGTTGTTAATAAGTGCCCTCGATGAATTGGATATACTCCTCGATTGAGTATTCGAGAGGGGATAAGTTATAGATATAACAATGATCGACTAAAATATATCAACAAGTGGAAAGTAGCAATGCCAAGTTCTTTTTATCTTTGAATTAAATCTCATATAAGTCATTCATCTTCGTATTTAATTAATTTAAATCACTCAATCCCAAAACCCCCCTTATTTACTAGTTTTATAAAAAGAGAATTATTCATTTCCCTGTGTATACGAACTCTACTACGTTATACTACGTATAAGTATTAGTATTGAATTTATTTTGAGACACCGTGACAAAGTGCTCGTCAGATGCTGTTGTTTTTCACTAAGATGTGGCACATCAACTCCCCTAAAATGGGGACGTTTTACACTTTTAGAAATTACTTTAAATAAAACTAAAATTTAGCAAAACTACACAAATAGGACTACATGTCTTTTATTTTTAAAATAGGACTTATTTGATCATATATTAAAACTGTAAGCTTCTCCTCTTAGGAGTGAATAACTAAACAAGTCCTATTTTGAGAAAACAATGAAGGTCCTATATGTGCACTTTGTTTATGTTTTTGTCCTATATAAAGAATTTTCTCGTGCTTTTCATAGAATCAAATAAATCATATTTTGATAGTAAAACATAATTACTACTACCTCCGTTCATATTGGATGTCTTATTTTGATTTGACACAATATTAATATGTGAAATTTATCTTGTGGACACTATTACTAGTTCAAATTATTTTTATGAACAATCTGAGTAGAGATTATAATTCTAAAATGAGGCAATTACCAAAATAGGAGTAAAACATAGTACTTGTGCAAAAATAGAAGTAGAGTTTTAAAATTCCCAAAATAGGAGTATTTTTTTGTAAATGGACAGGGATACCCTGCCTGTTGCTGCCTGCTGCTACAGTTCCGCCGCCAGCCAGACTTCGCCGGACCGCTGCCGCCGCCGGCCGGCCGCCAGAGCTCCGGCGACCACCTTCGGAAAATTTTCCAGATTTTTCCCTAGGAGGTTTCCCAGCATTTCTGCCGCCGAACGTCGCAGGCTGCCGCCGCCGCCGTAGTTCGCCGCCGCCGACGGAATCTTCTGCCGCCACCGACGGATTGCCCCGCTACCAACGGACTGCCTTGGTTGCCCAAGGGAACTAGGGGGGCAATGATTAATTAGAATAAAGGTTTCCACCGGTCGCCGGAGCTCCACCGCCGCCGCCGGCGCCTGCCACCGCCACCACCAGACTGCTGCCGCTACCAACACCCTGCCCCGCCACCGACGAACTGCCCTTGTTGCCCAAGGGAACTAGGGGGGCAATAATTAATTACAATAGGGGTAATTAGGGGTAAAAATTAATGTTTACTCCTATTTGAAGAATTTTAGAAGTTAACTCCTATTTAGGGAAATGTGGTATATTTTACTCCTATTGGGAGCAATTTCTCCTTCTAAAATCACCAAAATTATGGGTATTCTTGTGAACTTCCGCATATTAATAAGGTGGTTGGAAAATAAACCAAATATTCTTGCCAAGAAAAAAGAAGACATTATTCGTTTTGAGACAATTCAAAATAAAATAAAAAAACTAATAGGCAGTGTGAGCCCGCTTTGAATGGGTAACATTGAAATCACTTGAATCGATTATTTCTGTTAAAATTTATGAAGTTCTGGATGAAATTTTAGATTCTGCTGAATAATGAAAACATTATATGTAAAATATACTACCTCCAGTCCTAAATAAACTTCTCATTCGATTTACGATGCTTGACTGACGATAAAGCAACTCGATCCGTGTTCACACTCAGATTATTTTTAGTAAATAGAATTTACATATTCAGAAACTACATTAAAACCGCTACAAAGCCAGATCAAGAAAATTTAAATTTGATAAAAATTTGAAACATAAAGTACAAGATTAACAGTGATTTAAGTTGACCAATGAATAGTGAGAGTGAAGTTTATTTAGGACCGGAGGGAGTATTATATTAACAAAATTTAAGAAAAAATTATCTGGAAAGTGAGAATAAAGTGGAAATGTATGGTGGTGGTTGAGTTAGAAAAAGGTAAGAGAATGGTAGGTAGACACACAAAACTTGCCCAAAGGGAGATTTTGAAATTGGATATATTAATTCTTTCTTTAATCTATCTATATATTAATGTTGGGGAGTGTTACTAAGATGAAAATTAGTTAACAACTCGACATTAGTTATAGTAGGATTTTATTTTCTTCCTCTATATATTTTTTTTCGATAATATGTAAGTATATTAGACCGAAAAAATAGCATTTTACAATGCGTCAAATCCAAATCAAAATGACTATCTAAGCTAGAAAAATCTAACCTAGATATAATGCATCAAAATAATGGGACAATCCCCACTTCACAAATCACTAATAAAAGATATTAGGTTTCCCTAATTCAACAACCAAGGAAAAATCGGAAAGGTTTAGTGAACATTGAATCAAAGCGAACCTCCCCTTTCTTCTTTGTTACACCCGGCAAGCCCTCAAGACATTCATCGGTAAAAGTGAGACCCTTTCTATCCAAATCATCCGTAAGTCGAAGGAAATTGTCCACTCGAATCACATTAGCATGCACGGATTTAAACGGTTTGACAAACAACTTGAGTGTCTTGCCGTTTATCACCTCACACTTTATAACAACATCATCTAGCTTCACATCCTTTTTATCCATAACTATCCTCTCGCCATCATCCAAAGGAGGTCTCTGTTCAGCCAGTTTAATCTCGGCAGATGCATCCTGGACGATGTTCTGCGCCGAAGACCCGATCGGGTCCTTCGCACACCCGGGCGGGTGAGGAACCTGCAGCTGCGTTTCGATCGGGCTAGGGGTAGGCCCGGTCAGGTCTGACCCCTGGGCAGCAGGTTGTGGCCTAGTTGACCCCTTCTCTATATTTTCATCTTTTTCCCATCTCCGTTCTAAATCAGTTTCCTTATCCTCCTGTTTTGCTAGTTTCTTACAAATAAATGGGTGATGCCCATATTCTTTGCAATGAAAGCAAAAGTTAGGGAAAGTTTCATAAACCACAAATTGTTTGATTACCTTACGGGAAGGTAGTCGAATTGGGAAGTGAAGCGGTGGTGGCTTTGAAACATCAACCTCAATAAGAACTCTAGCATAGTCATTGTTTGCCCTTTCTTGAGTGATTTTATCCGTGGTTAATGGGACCCCCACCATTGATGCCACCTCACTCATAGCCTCATCATTCCATAAACTCATCGGTAGTTTAGGGAACTTGACCCAAATTGGAATTTTTAGAAATTCCTCATCCTCAAAAGTGAAGTCCTCCGAGAGTTCTTTGAGCATTAATAGCTTACCGAAGACGGTGTAGGGTCCCTCATGTAGTACTTTGGATCTATCCTCTTCATTTTGGAATTTAAAGATTATCCAACCCTTGTTATGAGATCTTACTAGGCTTTTGACTCCCCATGTAGCTTTTAAGTCATGAACCGCTTTGAGTCCGGGGAATTTGCCGGTGAATTGTCCCACTAGACAATAACCCCACATTTCAACCATTGAGGGTAGTATGCGGTCACCGAAGTCCAGTGTTCCGCCTCTAGGTGGAACATATCTCAGCTTAATCCCATTTTTTGGATCACGGTTATCCTTAAACAGAGAGTTCCATTTAGTTCTTGCAGTTACTACCAGTGTAGAACCAGCAGCTACTGTCTTAGCATCTAATATCTCATCAGCCCCAAGTACTAGCTTAGCAAGTTGTGCACTCCCAGCAGCATTACCATCATCCTTGGAAGCCAACCTGTTGGCATTCAATTCATCTTCTGTTTCAGTTCCAGGAAACACATTTGCCGCAAGTAGTTTAACCGTAGCATTACTCTTTTGCTTTGTCTTCTTTACAGAGAGTCCAGGCAGTAGAGCAGGGAACTCCATATCAGAATCCTGAAGTACTGAGAAGCTGGACCTGGTAGTCCTAATCTCCAACCCCTGTTTTGCAGACATGGCAGACTCCCAAAACAACAGATACACAGAGATAACAAAGCACAAATCTTTAGAATCCCGAAACAGACTCTAAGCTCGACCCATTAACCGGAAATCAAATCTGAAGTGACGGATTGGGAGTTTGATTTTGACTCCCAAATAACCATCGACCTTGAAGCTCGGAAATTGCAGATAGAAGAACGATGAACAGTGTCCAGAAAAGCTACAAACTAATTAATACTAACCAGCCTCAGAATCTCAAAATCCGAAATAAACTTCCCGGCGACCCACTCTTGAAGGTATGAATCCAAGGCGTCGGATTTCAATCTTCCCAGCGACCATGAACAGTAGTTACGCAATTAGGTATTCTCGAACAGAAATGTCTCTTCCAAACAAACATCCAGGGACGGATTTAAGTTTAAGGAGTGTTAAACTCAGTAACAAATCATCATCTTTCGACATGGGGATCCATCGATGGCTTGAACATGGAAGAAGAACTGGGTCGCAAATCGTTCCCAGGAGAGTTCAGCTCTCAAGTCCTTCCTTCCTCTATATATTAATGTTGGGGAGTGTTGCTAATATGACAATTAGTTAACATCTTGACATTAGTTATAGTAGGATTTATCATCTTTAATATTCTTCCTTGAATATTAATTAATTCTTATTCATATTTCATATTAATATTTTGGACATTACTTAAAGGATCAAATAGTTTTGTTTCATATATTAATTATCACTAGAATCGATCGACGAATACGCTTGTTGATCGTTCGGTTGTTTCACAGTAGTAAACTTTGATTATTAATACATGCGTCTCATGGTTAATAAGCTAAGGGGAATTAATTATGTTGATTAAACCAATAAACCGCTTGTGTTGAGGTTATCAATCTCAATCGTTTTCATCTTAAGTTTATTGCTACTATAGGGTTAATATACGGCGCGTGTTCTATATTGACTCGATAGTAAGTTTTATTAATGAACGTGTCTCGTTATTAATAACTACCCTCGATGAATTGGATATACTCCTCGATTGAGTATTCGAGAGGAAGATAGTTAAAGATATAACTGAGATCGACGAACATTTCATTAAGTGGATAAAAACAAAACCAAGTCCTTATCTCTATTAATTAAACTCATATAAGTCGTTCATCTTAGTGTTAATTAAATTAAATCAAATCAAACTTACCCCCGTGTTACTAATTAATTAAGAAGAAAAATATTCCTTTCCCTGTGGATACGAACCTTACTACGCTATACTATGTATTAGTGTTGTATTGTATTGATTATTTTGACGCACATCACGACAAATTGTTTGTCAAATTTGGCGTCGTTGTTGGGGAAAAGCAATCATTTTTCTTTTTAATTTTTTATTCAAGAAAAATAAAATAAAATAAAATAAACAAAATATAAAGAGTTCTTAGTTTTTCTATTTTTGAGCTTTGTGAAGTATACGGTCAAATATCGTTCATTGAACGAAATCACTTTTCAAGCAAACCCTGAAATAGAGAGATCTTTCGAGCGATGGAAAATTAAATTCTCAAGCTCCGACTCGGAAGAATCATCAAGTGCTAGTACTCATTCTAGCGAATCCGGAGAACCATCAACTAGCCAAAGTTTTTATGAAGGCCATACTTATGGCAAAAAACAATGAAAATGTTGGCATTCTCAAAGAGAAATATGCCATTTTTTTTTTGACATATTCAGAAAAAATGGCATTTTTCTACCGGTTGGAGGTGGTGGTGCAGGGAGGTAGTACAGGTGGTGGGAATGCATTCATAAATTTGCTAATTTTTTATGGAGTTTTACTATTATTTATTAAATTTTAAATTTTATCTTTTAAACAAAAATTATTTTTAATATTTTATTAACTTTTTAAGCAATTTTCTTTGATTTTTTGATTTTTTTGAATTTATTATGCATTAAATATTTAATTATGACTTTTGACCGTCTTTTATTCAAATTTAAAGTAGGGGCAAGAATGAAATGAAAAAATAGGTATATCTCCAACAGAACTAATATGGTGCTATTTTAATACGAAGTATTAAAAAATAGGAAATCCCATTTTGAATTTTTGTCATAGTTTTAGCGCGTAATTTCTAAATCAAAAGTTTAGCCCCGTAATTTCTAAATCAAAAGTTACATACGAAGTAAGGTAGTTACGTACGTACCTGGTGTTGAGCTATGTAAACGATGGGCGGTTCCTCCCATATTGATCTCGGCGGTTTCGTAGGGTATTCTGACCAGATGCGCACAACGAGATTATAAATTCCACAATAGATAAAGTAGGCTAGGGCGACCGGGAAGATGAGGTCTGCGTATAAGAGGAAGAAGAAAACGAGCTCGAGAGAGAGTAGGGTCGTGACGGGGCTTTTCCAGCTGGCGACGTGGTCCACAAACTGGCACAGTGCCCTTAAACCCGAGGCGCGGTAGAGCCGCGCTAGGTTCGTGTCCGTCACCCGCTTGCTGTAGCCTTGCTCCGCCGTGGTCATGAATCTCACCACATTCTCCCCCAGCGGGGGCTCCCGCCTCCCCAGAACCTTGCACTCCACGTCCACCGCGTACTTCCGGAGGTCCGCCGTCTGCTCGAGCGGGATCGGTCTTTCGTAGTGCGACGGCGGGAGAAGAGGTCGGAAGTACGCGGAGACGAAACCCCACATGCTTGTCGGCTCGAGCGCGACCTGCAAGTGCAACTCGCCCATTATCCTTACCTGCGGGCCTAGCTCAGGATGTATGGCGTAGAGGGGATAAGACTTGATCCGCTTCTTGCCGTCAAAAAGCAGGGTGGAGATGGGAACCCGAACCTTGCCGATGTTCTTGTCCCCCTCCTTCTTCCCGCCGCTCGCCGCAGCCTGGTTGTTGTCGAACACGCCGACGGTGAGAACTGTGTTCGGGTCGTAGACTTCCCAAATGTAGGGCTCTTGGAAGCGGGCGGTTGCGCCGCTACCGATGACCGTGCGTGTCTTGCACCACTTCCTGCCGTACCTGCAAGGGCAGACCTATGATTGTTTAAACTTGTTCGGATGAACCCCCAAAATTTTTAACTAAGTAGCGTAAAAGTACATGTAATACGTACTTCCTCCGTTCTTAAATAAGGGAAAAGGTGCAAATAGGCCCATGTACTAATCAAAAAAGGTCAAATAAACCCTTATTTAGGAGACTCTGTCCGGCCGTCGTCATTTGGGGTGGTTCCCGGTGGAATTGTTTGATGAAATTTTTTTAGCATCTTATTCATCAAGTCTAGTTTAATCATACCAAATTTCACCTAAAACTTCAATCGGGAAGGCATTCAAATGAATTTTTGAAGATAACTGCGCTTCTAACTGCACAATTATTTTCAAGAATTCATTTGAACGCCTTCCCGTTTGAGGTTTTAGCTGAAATTTGGTATGAGTAAACTAGACTTATTGAATAAGATGCTAAAAAAAATTCATCAAAAAATTCCAACGGCAACCACCCCAAATGGCGACGGCCGGACAGAGCCTTCTAAATAAGGGCTTATTTGACCTTTTTTGGTTAGTACATGGGCCTATTTGCACCTTTTCCCCTTAAATAAATGCAACAGTCAACATTTCACACTTGCTGAGACACAACTTTAACCATTAATATAAATGATTTTGTATTAGTAAAAAATAAAAAAAATTAGATTATAAAAATTTACAATGAGACAAGTTTAATAATATTTGTTTCATAAAATAATATTATTACATTAATAAATAAAACGTAGTCAAAGCTATGTTTAAAAAAACCGACCCGACCCGGCCGGGTTGACCCGAAACCCGGTGACCCGGACAAAAATCGGTTCGGTTTCTTCAAAACCCGAAAATGGTAAAAAACCGGAAAAACCCGGCTGACCCAAAAAAATCCGATCCGGACCCGACCCAAGAAACCCGAAAAACCCGGGAAAACCCGGTTTTCGGTCTTTCCAAAAAAAAAAAAAGTAATTTCTTTTTTAATTTTAATGCATTTTTTAAACCAATAAAATTGCAATTTCAATTCCCTAAAAAGAAAAACTATGTAATATATTTATATATTAAGAATGAAAATCATGCCAAATTATAATATAAATGTACAATACAAATAAAAATATATAATGATAGTGTATATAATTATATGTTTATAATTATTATATAGACGTATAATCGTTGACCGGTTTTCTGGCTTTGACCGGGTTGACCCTCTGGGTCCGGGTTGACCCATGACCCAGTCACATGACCGGGTCGCTCACCGGTCCGGTTTTTACATCATAGAGTCAAAGTAGAACATAATAATAGTGTAAAAGTCAAAGTGTTGCATTTATTTAAGAACGGGGTAGTATATGAGTACTAATGCTAAAATTAATGTTTAAGATCCGCCTCTCCTTACTTGGCCACGCAGTAGGGGTCCGTCGTTGGGACCCTGTTACGTTCTTTCGTGGGAACGAGGCCCGTCACACTAAGTATAGCAACTTCTAGAACCGCTATCGCGACCGGTTTGGGTTGCCTCGGGTCGCGGTCGGTGGGGAGACGATCGCTTGTGCAAGAATCCACGTCATCAAACACGTGGTATGATTTGTCGACCAGCATCATGGCTGATAGTTTAAGCCCGGGGTCCTTGTCCCCATTTTTCAGCTTGAGATCCTTGTGCGACGCCATTTTATTGGGGTCCACGGGGACGGCGACACTTCCCAACACATCGTACTTGTTGGGGGTAGTAGCTGGTAGAGGGACCTTCACTATGAGGGTGAGCTTGTCGTGGTCGGCCTCCATCGGGTCATTCACGACGAAGAAGAGCCTGCAATGGCCGATGAAGTGGAAGTCTGCGGGGCTGTAAGTAGGGGGGTTTGGGTAGTTATTTGGAAGCCTGCTTTCAGCGGCCACTTGTTGTGGGGTAGGGGGGTATAAGGGCTGGGTCCACATCTCCTGCTCCCCTAGCTTGCCTACCACGTAGTAGAACGCAGCCGGGACTAGCGGAGGAATTGGGGCGGGGTGGCCGCCGTTAGGTTTAGGCGGCGGAGGTGACGGGGATCTCCAGAGATATCTAAGCATGACAGTGTAGTAAGCCAACTTTGGTTGGGTGTAGCTCTTGTGCGAAACGGACAGGTGTGCGGTGTTGATTGGGGCGGCGGAGGGCGGAGAAGACGGCAAGGTTGCTGGAACGGCTCCTTCCGGCACCTGGTCTCGCGACGACCATACAGAAATCATCAAATGCCTGCGGCTTGTGTCGGTGCCGGTGATGACGCACGGGCTTTTCGCCACCTTGGCGCCGTGGTCGATGGAGATGATGCCGGAGTCCCGGTAATCCAGCTGCGTGGAACCCTCCACTTTTTTGTCTTTACCGACCACCTTCACCTGGAATAACCAGCTCTGGACTCTGTCGGGAAAGCATATCAGCACCGCCTTCGCCACCTTGTCGCCGCCCACGAGTGTGCCCTTCCCCACGTACTCTTCCACCTTCACCTCCACCGTCACATCCACTAAATCCTTGGGAAAATCCACTCCCCTCTCCACTTGAATATACGTCAGCAGCGGCTTTTCTGCCGCACGCAGTTGTCCTCCGCCACCTTGATTCCCCGCCATCAGCGCCGCCGTCCCTCCTGCATGCGGTAGTCCTACGCCGCCTTGAATGCCAGCCATCAGCGCCGCCGCTTCACCTGCCACCATATCACATATTCCCCACATTCATTAACCAATTTCCAAAAGTAACCAAACTACACGCACAAATTAAAAATTGAGTATGAAAATTCACAAAAATATAGGATTGCTCATCACAATATAGTACTACCTCGATGCCAATTTGATAGTCTTCCTTCTTATTCACTTTCTTTTTTTGACACATCCTTTGAAATACTCTTTGTTTTTTACTTTATACTATCTGTTCCCTTTTAATTGCGACGTAGGGCTTTCTCACTATTTACAGATTCTACTTTGACTACATTTTATTAATTAATGTATTAAGGAGTATCAATTAAATTTTTAAAAAATATTTTTAAGTCCTTCTCATAATAAATTTTCAAAATCCGATTTTTTTAATTTTTTTACTAATAAGGAATGAAAAATATTAACGATCAAACTTGTGTGTTGGCAAGCGTGAAAAATTGACTGTTGCAATTAAAAAAGAATGGAAGAAGTATATCCAACTTTTGTTGAAATTGATTTTTCTTTTACGACTTTGTAATTTTTTTAATATAATTCCTAGATATATAAATTTGTTTACTACAAACAATTTGAATGCTGATGAGGATCGATTTAATTTATCTTCAGTCAATCATCATGAGAGACTATCATTTAGGATGGAGGAAGTATATAACTATATATTATAGGGAATAGTACAAAGAAAACAAAATATGTTTAGAAATTGCTCATAGTCAAAATTCGAAAATATTCTCAAGTATTTTTAACCCACTTTTACTTAATTACAATTTTCTCTTTATTAATTAGTCAAATAAACGAAAATGTCTCACAATTTTATTCTACGTCTTTCAATAATTCATCAACCCATCTCGATCTTTGACTACCCAACATTCTGCGTGTGCATATTGTCATTCATGAATCATGATCGGTCTTTGAGAATTCGCTCTATCTGTAGTTGAGTTTTTCACACTTATACCAGGCCAAAAGGCCCAAAACTAAAAAAGAAAAAAAGAAAGAAAGAAAGGATGACACCCCATCCCTAAGGGCCCCCCAACACCGACCGGACAGCACGATGAGAGGATGTAAATTAGACTACAATCACAATTTGACAGAGTGTGGATCTGTCCCCGGTACTTGCAGAGGTCCTATGCTTTTTTCAGCATAGTAACCTTTCATTGTAGTTACCGGGATTCGAACCCGAGACCTAACCCTTGTGGCACTCCCTTGCTACCAGTTGAGATACGCCCACCGGTAAAAAAAAAACAATTGAATGTGTAAAATGTCGGCTCGCTAGGGTTTTTATAGAGTCTAGCTCTGAAGTGGTTTAGTTGTTTTGATCCGGAGTAATACTAGTTAAGGGAGTTGTACATAAAAGACCCTCAAGTATAAAACACAATATTAATACTCTACCTGTTCCTAAGTAACTCTTTTAGGTTTTTGTTTTGTGATTTTTAAGAAAAAGTAGGGTAGAGAATATATTGAGAAGAATAAAGTAATGATAAAGTAGAAAAGAAATAGTAGTATGGAATAATAAATTGCACAATTGTAATTAACAATTGCATTTTATTACATATAAATACTACTAATTGATGTTTGTATTAAAAAAAACTAAAATAGAAATCTTTAATCAATGAAAAAAAGATTTTGTATATTGTGTGAACTGTATTTAAGATGTTGTTGCTCCTGAATTGAGAGGCTTTGTGTGGTAGCACTTCTTGCACACCCTAATCTACGGCCCTGGTTTAGGGGTCAGAATTATCTTTATCAAAAAAGGAATTGGGAAGAGGGATTTAGTCTTCATCCATACTACAACAGCTTGTCCTCCTCTGGAACTACCTATGTCCCAATAAGTAATTTGGGGCCCGCTAAGAGTTCTAAGGAAGCTTTATGGCAAGGAAGGGCAGTAGGAGCCCCCCATGATCCTAGGAATGCAACTCAGTTTTAATAATGTTGTTTTTATTTTTGATTTTCCTTTGGTCACACTATGTTTGTGTTTGCGTTTCGTTTTTTGTTTTGTCAAACTCTTGCATGAGGATTGGGGGATGAGGGGGTCTGTTTTGATCGCCTTTGGCTCAGTTATGCTCATTACAGGATCAACGAGTCATATTGCTTTATGAAAAGTGTTTGACTCTAAATTTGATTCGAGGGTTGACAGTTTGGAATGGTCATTTTATCTGTTTGTTCTCTACCTGAATGTTGTGATATAATATCCGACCACGGCACACACAGTCCTCCCTATTTTTAAGTGCCCCAAATGATTTCATGCTTGACTTTTTTGGTTAGTTGTGCTACATTTTTTATTAATGATTTTGATTAGTAGTAGTAAATTATTGTGAAAACTATTAGTTTTAATTTATACTTTTATGAGAATATATTTAACAAGGAATATTTTCCTATTGTTTTCATATTTTAAATTACTTCGTATTCAAATATATAACTGGTCAAAGATAACTGGTCAACGTCTAACATCGCTCAAAGATCACAGTATTCACCATATATGATTCAAAGATCGCTAAATTTAAGAGAAAGATGAAGTAAAAATTAATTTTATAAGAAAAGTTCTTTACTTTAATAATTATAAAATATACTCTAACATTGCTATTCATGGATATAATTTCGGGATAATAAAACTTACACGCTAAAATATAAATCAACAGTAGACCGAACAAGATAGAATCTGCTTGAACTACACGTAAATGTACCAATGTAATTAATGTAACAGGCTTAGGGGAATTCTATTTCGAGTTCCATTAGATTAGATCATACCATAACATATAAGCCTCGATTAAAACAGAACTAGCTTGAATCTTATACTCTAATACTCCATAGTAATCATATACTCCGTAATTTAAATTGGTTCCTATTGCACGAGACAAAAATAGCTTAAATTTGAGTCCAAAGAACAGACAAAAACCATAACAATATTGGTCTAGTCTCGATGTGACATGGACGTGGAAGTTACAAATGATATATCTACCCCGGTGATTTTCTTAGAAACTCATGAGATTTCAAATCAGATCCGTATTGTATTGCGTATATAGATGCGTATAAGTGCAAACGTGTTGTAGAAAAATGAAAGAATTAAGAACAGAATGTAAACAAAAAACATGTATACCTGAATGATGAGTAGACAACGTTGGAGATGATAAATTTAACCCACGTTTCGAGCAATATTTGTATCAACGAATGATGAATTTCCCCTTAAGGATGTGAGGTTTCTTGCTTGTGAGAGATCTTAGTATGGACTCCTTAGCTCATCTATGCATCTTGTAATTTAAAAAGGTTTACTTGGTCCCTCATCTAATTTAATACGAGTATGTTTCTTTAGTTTTTTTGCTTAAGTAACTATTTTATTGATTTATGTATTTTCTAGTGGAAGGCTTTTTGTTATCGGGTCAATTCCTTTGTCTATTTAAAGTCTCTTTTGAATGGTAATAATTTTGTTTGAAATAATTATATCAATGATGCAGACTGCAGAGTGTTTTTTACGGCAACGATTCATTTCTGCGGACGTAATTAAATGAGAGGATAAAATATTGAGAGGTGAAATTGATGAAAAAATAATTAAAACTGCGGAGATTATATATATCTTCAGTTTTTGCAAATAAGTAGTCTTAGATATATGTGCCGAAAATATTCAATTCAATGTGATATTGAAGCAAATTAAATTAATGTAAAAGTAATCGTAGTAAGGTATATGTGCTGAAAAACTTATTTGCACCATCTTGCGATCCTTATTAATAAAACCACTAATTCCAAAAGCTTTTTACATGGCGTTTTGAGCAATCCACTGGAGGACCAATCACCAATGTACGTACATTATGTAATGTTTATATTAGTCTCAATTCAAGTTTGAAGCTATTTTGTCTAGCTGGATATAGCATATTGGTAAATGTGAAAAGGTGGCCGAATGAAGTACTCCATCCGTCTCGTAAACAAAACAGTGTCAAACAGTTTCCAAACAGTGTCAAACAGTGTTTAAACAGTGCAAAACAGTGCTCTGCACGGTAAAGTCAAATTTATTTTCTTAATCTGTGTGAAGTCAAAGTGTTAAGTCAAAATGTAAAATTACTTTACAAAAAAGAAAGTAAAAGATGAGGAAAATGTAAAATTGCTTTAGATAACGAAGATCGAACCTATATTATAGAGCTCTTAAGAAAATATCACTATTTTGAAGGACACTACAGAGCCCTTAGTCATTATTAAACAATTAAATTATAGAATTAAGTAAATCTGTAAAACAATACCCTAACAAATCAACATAATTTTTTATTAGAAGCTTTTTAATCGCATTCAAACGTACTATATACGGAGTAGTATATGCTGGCCACATTAGACCATTTGTAGTGGTTAGGTATTAGGAGTCCAAAATGTTAAAGATTGAACTTTTGGACTCCTAATTTCTTACATTGGTGACTAGCTGAAGATATTAAAAATGGAAAGGGGAGGGGAAGGTCTCAAATATAAAAGATGGATTGACAGCCAAAAAAGGAAGAAGGGAGAGAGAGAGAGGGGGTGCGCAGTGGCTGCTGGAGTGCTAGACGGTGTTGTTCTTTTAAATGAATTTGACTTCATCTTATACAAAAAAAAACCTTTTTCATTTAAAGCCCGATAACTTTTGTATTTATATTCCAAATTTTACAAAAAAATATATCGAAATTTATAAAATGTTATGATCTTTCATTTGACACCAATATTGCATATATATAAAAAAAATTAAAAAAAATCTAAAATTTTAATGCTGGAGTTCTTAGGCCAAAAAACACGAAACACGAATTTTTAATTCACGCGGCCTTTACAAATAACGGAATATTCCACTTTAGTTGAACTAAGTTCATTTTTTGTTAATAAAGAAGGTTAAAAGAATTAATGAAATTTATTTATTTTTACATCGAAATGTGTCTTTTTATTTTATAATTAATCAGAGAAAAAATTAAAAGGAAAACATTACTTATAGTAATTTAATTAATGTTTTACTAAATTGACATGTAAAAAAATATGCAGAGTGTATTTTATTGACGGTGCTGGAATGCAAGAAATAGGAGTCAAAACACTGTTTTCATATGGACGGAGTCCATTTTTGACATTTAGCCTCTTGCACCACTCCAAATGGTGTTATAGCTCCAAAAGTCCAAAACTGACTCGAGTATTGATCGTGTATATAGCTCCAAAGTCGACCCTACCAAATGACCGTCAAAATAACCTAAAAAAGAGTTATTTTGATAAAGTTTGACATTATATGTTCACATGGCGACGAATGCTTGTAACACTTTGCAAAAATATATTGTGATATTGTAACACAATATGACTCGATTAATCGAAAAGTTTGTTTTACATGGTTGGAGTTCATATATTGTGACCTTGTAACACTGCAAACATGATACGAAGTATTAACACTGTGATATTGTCAAATAGTGACATTATGATTTACCAATATGCCATCATAGCTAACGAAGTTGATATTGTGTTAACAATGTATTGTAGAATGTGTGTAATAATGAGAAAGGATACTCCATATAGGAACTCATATATTTGTAATAAGAGAGAGTTGCCTACATTACAATTATTCCTAATTTAGGGGGTGTTTGGAACTAATTCTGCTTCTGCTTCTTTTTTAAAAGCAGAAGCAGAATCAGAATCAGTTTTCAGAAGCTGGTACCCCCAACTTCTAAAAAAACTGATTCTGAGAGTAAATTAGAGCTCCAGAGGTGCTTCTGGAATTTCACCCAAACACTCCAGCTTCTGCTTCTGCTCCTTGAAGGAGCAGAATCAGTTTTGAGAATCAGATCCAAACACCCCCTTAATATTAGATTTTTTAGGTTTCTGCGCTTCTTGGTTTCGCACCCGACTTCTCCGATCTAGCCTCGCACCTGACTTCGCACCTGCTTCTTTGATCTCGTTTGGCTTCTTTGATCTGATTTCGCACCAGGCAGACTGCTCCTCCTTGTCGCTCTCTTCTCCTCAAGCACGAACGCCCTCCTGCTACATGCGCAAGAGACGCCAACTACTGTGTGTCTTCTTTGTTGGTCGGTGCTGCGAGAAGAAGTACAAACAGGACAAATTGAGCGATGATTTAGGAGACTGAGTTTATACTTCTTTGTTGACGAATCTCGAATGAGTTTATATTAAACTCAAATGAGTATATGCTTTACAGGAATGCACATACACAAATGAAAATTGAGCATATTAGATATGAGTTTTATGTTAAACTCAAATGAGTATAAAGTCCAAAATAAATGAGAGCATACAGAAATGAACTTTTGATTTATTTGATACTCATTTTGTAAGTTATATATGCTCATGGTACCTCTTTATGCTCATTTTAAAATGTTGTACATTTCAAACGTACCATACTACATTAGATTCAAATATTGAAATTAATTGGATTTTTTATATCGTCAAATGGAAATCATTATATTAAATCAAAAGATCGTTAGCCATATGGCCTGAAATACAATCGGGGCTACACTCAAAATTAACCGCAAGCTGATATGGTAAATTCACATGTGCTCTTGCCAGTGCATGAGCCACATGATTTGCAGATCTTTTACAAAAAGAGATAACAAAATTGCTCTTTGTTTTAAGAATCCTCTTAATATCAACAGCTCCGTGGATAGCATCCTGGAACCATCGTATTGCATGTGTTCCCCCGTCCACCAAAAATCATCCTCTCTATTTTGAAAACTAATAGGAATACTCAGAATTAAATTCATATCTTTCTCATTGAACAATTCATTAATTCTTTACCTATTCCATTTTTTCTCGGTATATAGTCACGCAATGCAGCCACACTCATATCCCTTATATATGCCGTTTGGCCTAGCCGAAGTAACTCGACCAGCTCCCTCCCCTGGCAACCAAGCGTCCGCCCAGACCTGAACATCAATACCATTCCCCACTCGCCACCTAATATTATTCCTCAAAATATTTTGGGTCTCAAAAATACTCCTCCAAATAAAGGTGAGATTATTACCAACCTTAGCCTCCAAAAAATTAGAATTAGGAAAATATTTAGCTTTCATGACACGGCTCTTCAGACTTTGAGTTTCTGTGATCAGTCGTCATCCCTGTTTAGTCAGTATAGCTAAATTAAAGTTCCTAATTTTTCGGAACCCCAAACCTCCAGCTTCTTTCGGTCTGCACATATGATCCCACCGCCTCCACCTTAGCCCCTTTTGTTCGAAATTGGATCCTTTCCACCAAAATCCATTCATTATTTTTTTTAAAACAAATAACTTAATTATTATTAATGAAGATGAAAAGAAACATTACAATCATAAAGCTCAAGGCCACAATGGGATGAGACATAGAAACGGACGATTTTAATCGAAAACGCCGTATAGCAAATGCCGCAAAGAAGTAGACTCTACATGCAGATTGACTGCTCCTGCTATGATCAAAATAATTATCAAAAGAACTCTTAAACATCCCGGTTAGTGGAAATGCTCTTGACCCTGGTGGCATAAGTGGAAGTTGGAAATGGTTATCCAACTCCACCATCATGGCTTATATGTTGGGGGTCAGAGTAAGTTCTAAAGAGTTTTCCCCGAGGTCATTCTCAATCACGCTCAATAATTCATCCTCTCCATTCATCTCAAAAGTATTTTGCACAAGAGGATCAATGATATCAATGGCAAATAGTGTATGATTTTCATTTGGATATTTCATGGAGTCATAAATGTTGAATTCAACTTTATCTACATCAAATTCCATTGTTAAAGATCCGTTAAAGACATCAATTTTTGCTCTAGCGGTCTTTAAAAATGGCCTTCCTAAAAGGATAGGAACCACATTCTTATCATTCTCCATCTCCAAAGCATAAAAGTCGGCGGGAAAGATCAAATTATCAACCATAACTAGTACATCTTCGACAATACCTTTAGGGTAAGCATTCGATCTATCCGCAAGTTGAATGACTACCCCGGTTTCATTTAGAGGGCCAAGCTCAAGTGATTTATACAAAGAATAAGGAATGACATTAATTGACGCTCCTAAATCTAGCATGGCCTTTGAAAACGTGGTACCTCCCAACTTACAAGGTATAGTGAACATGCCCGGGTCATTGTATTTCTTTGGAAGTTTTTTTTGAAAAACCGCCGAAACACGTTCACTAACTTGGACGTTTTGTTTTCCATTGAGTCTATGCTTCCTTTTTTATTGTACATAACTCTTTGAAAAATTTTGCAAATCTAGGAACAGCCTTTATCAAGTTAAGGAGAGGGATATTTACCTCACATTTGGAGAATGTCTCATAGATGTCCTTGTCTTTCTCCACCCTCCGTGTTTCCCTTATTAGAGCTTCGGGAAACGGTGTTTCCACTTCATGAATGACCGGGGGTGGAGTTGGGATGTGAGCTTCCTCCTCCTCGAGTT